ACAAGAAATTTGTTGCTTCACACACAATTTAAAAGAATAACAATGATTATCAAATGGAAGAATAACGTTTTTTATACCCTACACCACGATGTGGACAGGGTATTATGTCTTTGAGCATTAGTTTGTAACATAGAGAAGGAGGCGAGATCGACTCTTTCCTTTTGATGGTCTGCATAGGTGATCCTTTTGATGATGTACATAGAATTACATTCTGAGTCGATTTTTGCATTTCCGTCTATCTGATCGAAATTAGTTCGGATATAGCAACAGCTCCCATATATATTGTTCAACCGATTTGTTAATTTTGTCCTTCACACTCGAAATATGCACGAATAACAATGATTATCAAATGGAAGAATGACGTTTTGTATACCCTACACCACGATGTGGTCAGGGTATTATGTCTTTGAGCATTAGTTTGTAACATAGAGAAGGAGGCGAGATCGACTCTTTCCTTTTGATGGTCTGCATAGGTGATCCTTTTGATGATGTACATAGAATTACATTCTGAGTCGATTTTTGCATTTCCGTCTATCTGATCGAAATTAGTTCGGATATAGCAACAGCTCCCATATATATTGTTCATCCGATTTGTTAATTTTGTCCTTCACACTCGAAATATGCACTTGGTAACAACTATATTCAGGGAAATATATCAAATACAGGGTGAGATAAAAAAACTGCAACAAAGTCAAACGCCATAATTTTTAAATTTTTTCACTCCACCTTGGAAAGGAGGGTATATTAATTTGTCATTCCGTTTGTAACATCCCTAAATATTCGTCGTAGACCCCATAAAGAATATATATATATATATATTCATAATCAGCATAAAATTCTAAGTCGATTTAACGACTGTTGAAATCACGATACAGCCCACATTATTTCACGTAGAGCGTCAAAATTTAGCAGGACAATTTGTATTATGTCTAGAATGGTTGGTATTGAAAGTGAGATATATCCGTCCAATTTTTGGTATAGTCCCCATATAACGGTACCACCAGATATTCTGATTTTTGTCACATTTTTTCACGGATTTGACTAAAAATTGGTATTTGTTGGTCATAATGTGTTCTGGCTGCTGTGGCGAAATATTGTATGTATGGTTCCACGCTTTGGTATAGCCCCCATATAACGATACCTCCCGATTTTTGGTATTTTGATGATTTTTGCCACATTTTTTTTACGGATTTGTCTAAAAGTTGGTATTTGTTGCTTATAATGGGTTCCGGTGGCAAAAAATTGTATGTGTAGGTTCACGTTTTTGTATAGCCTCATACAGCGGTACCTCCCGATATTCGACATTTTGCGACAATAAGTTTAAAAATTGGTATTTGTGGGTCACAATGGGTTCTAGCTCCGTTGCCGCAACATTGAATATGTAGGTTCACGTTTTTGTATAGCCTCATATAGCGGTACCTCCCGATATTCGATATTTTGCGACAATATGTTTAAAAATAGGTATTTGTGGGTCACAATGGGTTCTAATGTTTCTTTTACCCTAAGGTGGAAGGTATTAAAAGTTCGGCCCGGCCGAACGTAATGTTTTTATACCCTACAACACTATGTGTTGGGGGTATTATAAGTTTGATTGGGCCAAAAATTATGTAACACCACGAAATATTGATTTCCCACATAGGAAAGTATATATGGATCTTCCTATCTCGCCGAGCTGAGTCGATCTAGCTATGTATGTCCGTCCGTCCGTCTGTCCGTCTGTCCATGTTAATTTGTAATCACTCTACAGGTCGCAATTATGGTCCGATCTTCACGAAATTTAAAATGGAGGTGGGGCTAGGGTCAGAATAGAACCCTATTTCTTTTGGTGATGATTGCATAATATTTAGGGGTTGAAATGGACCAAAAACTGAAAAAATTTCTGATTTTGCACTTGCTTTACAGGTCGTAATTATAGACCAATCGACGCGGAATTTCGCATGTAGCTAGAGTTTAGGGCTGGCAAGAAGCCCACCCATTTGGGTGGTCATCGGATAATATTTAACGGGTAAAATAGACCATAGACCATTTGTTGAAAAAATTCAAAATTTTTCATTAAACCGTGAATATTTTAAATCCCAGCGAAATCACAAAGCCATGACAAGGTTACTTCTGATCTTTACATTGATGTTAACATCCATCAAATCGGATATATAGCAAAATATGTGCGATATATATGTTTATCAAAGAAGATATGCTTGAAAAATCTCTTATATGTCGAGAACGGCTGAACTGATTTCGACAGTTCTCATTAATTCAGAATGGCCTCTTGGCAGGAAACATAAAACGTCTAAAAAATCGCATAAAAATATCTCTCTAAAGATGAAAATATTGATTTTGTAAAATTTTCTCATATTTTTTCCATTTTGTCATATTTTTGGCATATTTTCATTTTGAATTAAACATTTGGTAATATTTCTACAGCTAACAAAACTAAGTAGTTAGGATATCAGGATATCATATACAGTTCGCATTTATGGCCCGATCCTTACGAAATTTTGCATGGAGATAAGATGAGGGTCAGAATAAAAACCTATTCTTTTTGGAGATGATCGCCATATATTTAGGGGTTGAAATGGACCAAAAAACTGCAAAATTGTCAGCAGGTCGTAATTATGGGGGTTACCGGACATTGCAAAAGCTAAGCAGTTTTGGATGGCCATCCAAAAATATTCAATGTGCGAAATAGTTTGCCAACTTTTGTAGACAAAATACGAAAATGTCCATTCCAGTGACTTTTTGAAGAATTCGCAAATACTGGAAAGACGCACTTCCGACTATTTCGTTGACGCTGATTTCGTTGAAGTATATAGTCAAATGTCTGTATCTCATATAGATGCGTCTCAGTCAAAAACCAATAATAAATGTTAATCTTTTGCCACTTCTGAGAGATTGTAGGTCTTTGGGAAATATTGGTTCCAGATCTAGGAAGACCATTTAAGTGCAATATCTACCAATAAATTGGAAATGATCAAATTAGTTTAAGTTGCTTTTATTCGAAAATTAGAGAACGAAACCTGATGTTTTCTTTTATTATTTGTCACAATATCTTGTGGAATTCTTTCGAGTATCTCGCCTATCTAAACTGTATCGTTTATTATAGTGTTGTAGGGTATTCAACGGTCGGCCCCGCTCGACTGTAGCCTTTGCTTACTTGTTTTTTACTAATTTTTGTTTTTTAATTTTTGAATGAAAGCGAAAAATGTAGGAAATAGCATCAAATTTCAGAATAGGTTTAGATTTGTTCGAATTGGACACATTTGGCACGAATTATGGTCTTCAAAAGCCCAATGAAACCGTTACACGCTGCCCGAATGTTGCTCTGCGGTATTTTCGCCCATTCCCGGCGAAGCGCTTGTTTGAGGTGAACCAGACTCCAGACACAATAGTCCAACGGATTGGTATCCGGAGATTTGCGCTGGAAATGAAGCAAGCAACATCATTCTGTAACCATTCTTGGGTGGCACGTGCTGAGTGCGATGGTGCTGAGTCCTGTTGGAATGTCCAAGGTCTGCGGCCAAAATGTTTCATGCCCAAGGCTTTAATACACCCTCCAGAATATTTTCGCGATAATATTCGGGATTTATTCTGATGCCACGTCCGATTAATACGAGCAGAGAGCGATCACCGGCTTTTATGGCGGCCCACACCATCATAATGGCCGGCGCTTGAGTTCTGGTGGCCAACCGACCGCTTTGGGAAGTAAACACGATAATTTTGTTTATTTACAAACTGCTGAACAACTAATGCTTTCTTATCGGAGAAACCCAAATTCGGTTGTTCACCACTTTCTGCCAAGCGAAGTAACTCTTTAGCTCTTTTCAGTCTATTTTCTTTATATTGCGGTGTAAATTTTTCCACTTTTTGCAATTCCAATGGCTTTATCCCGAACTAATTTTTCAATATTTTCCGAATGAAATATTGCGATATGTTCAGCTCACGAGCCATTAATCGGCCAATGCGACGCAGGAGTCCCTTCTTTACTTTTCGAACCATTTCTGCTGATGTAGCTGTTTTCTTCCGTCCACTTCCTTGACATCGCGCACGCTTGATAGTGTGATTTCTTTATATTTGGCTGCAAAAGAACAAGTGGCTATCGTTAGAGCACTCCAGCATTTAAATGTGAATAAATGTTTTGTGTCTCGTGCCATCGCTCGTTACCGTGATACTGTTAGCGTAGCCCGATGTCAAGGATTTTTTTCACGATTTTTTTTTTTTTTTTTGAAAATTCACTCTATAATGCTTTTGTACGCTTGTAACCGATATAATTAGCTGTCACTGGAATAATTTTAACAGCTGTGGGACGAGTGGCTTTGAAATGACAGCAATCTGAATTTGGTTGCAGTTTTTTCATTTCACCCTATATATCTTCTTCCGATATCACTTTTATTGAGCCTAAAAAGTGTAATATCATTTCAAATAGGATGGATTTTGATGAATATTGGTTCATACTCAAATTCCTCCGCGAATTTAGTAGAGATCTACTCAGAGGAGGATATTCTGCCCATATATAAGTTCTTCCCAACTTTAAAATATAGCTTCAGTCATAGTTGGTATGATTTAGTTCTCACATAATCCCCAGAAAAACGTTTATTTGTTATGGTTAGGTCTACAAAATAAGCAAAAGGATGTAGGGTATCAAAAAGTCGGCCCTGCCCGAATTTTGGCTTTTCTTTACTGCTTTGTAATATACAAAATGCAATAGTCTGCTTCATGACAAAAATGTCAAATGTATAATAACAAATGTGAAATATTAGGTATTGTACGTGTACATAGGAAACTGTCTAGAGAATGCAGAGTTTCAAGATCGACTACTGACAGTGAAAGAAAACTCTCGAAGGGTCTAAAGTTTACTTTTAACTGTTATGACTTGCTTATAAATACACCCTAAACATTTGATAGGTACATGTGAAACTTTCTTTACGATTTCGAGTTGCCTGCAAACTGAATGGACCCAAAATATATTTTTTTTTTAATTTTTATTTTTTTTTATAAAAAAGCTATATAAATAAATATGTTTATCAAAACAACATTAAATAAATATGATATAGAAATGATCTAAACAAAGCAAAACAATTTAACAATGTATTATTAACAAATGTTGCACTAACAACAAAATTCATGGCCAGTACAAAAAGAAAATGCGCATACGCATTTTCTCCCTTCAAATTTAACTCTTTTGGGTACTTTCAATATCTTTGCCAGTACTTCTGCCATAATAACCGGAATAAGCAGCATCTTGGGCATTACCAAAGCTAACCGTGTTAGCCGAACCACTTTCTTGATAATTCTTGCTGTAATAATCTCCATAGGGTTTGGAGAATTGAGGTTCGGGTCTGTAGCCACCATGTTCATAATGATCATGATGATGGTAGTAGGTAGCTGGACCAACACCTTGGGGCGAATACTGAGTGAACGATTCCTTGGCACCAAATAAACCAGAGAACAGACCACCGCCTTGATGACCACCAGGAGGACGACAGAATTTGAAGTAAGCAAAGACACCGGGCAAAATAATGGCAGCCAAACTGAGAACTTTCTTCAGACCAACAATGCCCAAAATGAAAGGCAGGAAGAGCAACAATTTCAGCTTGAAGATTTTCAATACCAACAACAAGGGGATGATCAATTTCTTCAACTTCTTGCGTTCTAAAGGAGAGGCAAAGAAAATGTGGTTACTTTATATGTCTGAAAGTAGACTGACGTGTTGCAACACTTACTCAAGGTTGAAGCATGTTTCTCTTCAATAATATCCAATTCACTATCAATGTCATTGCCAATGAAACGTGCTTCATAGCGCCCGGCTTCGGTGAGTTCTTCTGGTACTTCAACTTCCAAGGCAGTGGATTTAATAAATCTATAAAAAAATTAAAAATTTAATATATTAATAGTTTGTCTAATGTAGTTTTTTAGTAGTATATATAAACGTCGTAAATCTTGTGTTACATTTTATTATTTAACTAAACTTTTAACAGTGTTGTCGTCTTAACAATTTTCCTATCATAAAGTATAATTTATTAATATTAAAATCCCATTAGGCAGACTCTGCGACTATAGGCTGCACAATTTCGTGTGTGGATATATTAGATTGGGTTTCAAAGCAGTGTTAGTAATCCAACATCTGCAACTTTTATTATTTAGAATAAATCAGTTTTTGGTTTTTTAAATAAAAAATTAGTAATGTTCGACAAAAAATTTCTAATTTCCGAGTACATATGAGGTATATTCGCCATACGTTTCTGCATTAGCTAAAACTTAAAATTATTGTATGGAAGTAAAACTTTATTGATTTTGTTATTTCATTTGTAATTGTTTCAAAGAACCATTTTCGACCCCATAAAGTAAAAATTACAACACGATCTAGCAATGTCCGCCCATCCATCTGTTGTAATCCCTCTATCTACCGAAGTATTTAGGTTAGGGGAATGAAATTTTATACATACATATATGTCTTTTGTCTGTAGGGACTTCAAGTTCGAATATAGACCCTAATAGTTTCTACCTATTACCAGCGGATTTTTATGCTCTCCACCATACATAGTATGGAGGGTATATTAAGTTCCGTTTGTAACTCTAATAATTTTACACCCAACAAAGTATATCTATTCTTGATCAGCGTAAAATTCTAAGATGATATAGCCATGCCCGGATGTCCGTCTGTTGTAATCACGCTACAGTCAAAACGAATTAAGATACGAAGCAAAAATTTTGCACAGATCTGTCTTTTGTCTGCAGGCAGGACAAGTTTGAAGATGGGCTATATCGGTCCACGACATCGTATAGCCCCCATACAACGATACACCCCGATATTCTGTATTTTGATGATTTTAACCACATTTTTCAATGGAATTGGCTCAAATTGCACACAAGGAGTTCTTTATGAGTAATTTACCCCCTGACATAGAATTGGCTATATAGGTCCACGATATCGTATATCCCCCATATAACGGCACATCCCGATATTCCGGATTTTTGATTATTTTACACACATTTTTCAATCGAACTTTCTGAAATTCATCGCAAGGAGTTCTTTGTGAGTACTTTTCACCCTGAAAGAGAATTGTCTATATATCCCCCAAATATCGGCATATATATATAGCCACACTTTTCAATGTCCCCCAAATATCGGCACCTTCCCATATTCCGTATTTTGAAGATTTTAACAGAATATTGAATGGATTTTTTTTTTTTTTTTTTTTTTTTGAAAATTGCCTAATTCGTCCCAAATGGTGGAGGGTATTCAAAGTTCGGCCCGGTTTTTTTTAACTTCCTTTTTACTTGCTTGGTGATCAATTTCACTGCAGATTTTGATATAGTCTCTATATGGCAGTACTGACGAAATTAAGACACTTTCTACCCCAATTAACTGTATTATGCCATTTATGGACTTAGAAGTTGAAATGCTTCAACCCTGCAAGTAAGGCTACAGACAAATATAAAAATTCTACAGTTTTTTGAAATTATTTTTTATATCTTCCTTTTTGTGTTCCAATCACTGAATAAGGGTAATTTACTCGAAAGACCACTATATCTTGTAGTTCCTCCCTTTGATGTAAAAATTATGCATATCTTTAGGATTAATTGCTAAAGGTCCCCCTTTATTGCTTAAACTTAATAATCACTTTAAAGTCGTAATCGGAATTGCAAATTTTGTTCATCCTGACATGATACTTAAGAATATTTTGAAAACAAAGTTTTCTAAAGACACTAACTTTGTACGCACATACCATTAATTATGTATGCGAAATTCGGTTGTTTGTATGTCAGACGTGTATCGCAAAATAAGTAACAAAGTTTTCTGCAATCCCTAGAGACTTTGTACACTTTAATATGACATCATTATTACATAGTGGTGTGATTTAAAGAATATGTACAATATTTTCATTGTCTTATGTGTAAGGAAATATTGTAGAAATAATATTTTATATTTTTGCAATGATAGTGGGTGAAAATAAACAGTCAACTGAGAAAAAGGTGGCCACATTGTAGAAAAATATGTTAAATGTCATATTTGTTTAAGCAATTTTTGACGGAACAGCTGAAGTTTACAGAGCAAAAAAACATTACCACAAAATTATGTTCTAGTAGATGAACTATTTAAACAAAGAGAAATATGTAGTCATAAAAATATTTGATTTTTTACTTAAATCTTAATTTAAAGAAACTTACCTTTCGGCCCTTCTTAGGGCATATTTCACCATTTGATCCCAGTCGCTGTCATCATTGCGTGGCTCCTCAGAATATTCAAATGGCTCGCTCAACAATGAACGCTGTTGTGTCTCTGGCAGACGCACAATGCGAGCAAATTCTGTTAAACTGCTTTAAGAAGGGAAAATAAAAAAATCACATAAAAATCGATTCCATTGCCATTTCAATATCCAATTCAACTTACGGATAACTATTGCGATAGAAGATCTCATCAAAACTTGATAGGGCTTGATTTTTAAAACATTCCGATAGATCGCCAGTCAAACAATTGGAATTAGTTCGGGCCAAATAGGGATCACTTTCACCACCACCTAAACCGAATATGTCGAATATGGAAGAACGACCCTCACCGCCGCTGGGTGGTGTTTGCTGGGCCTGTTGTTGGGGTTGTTGCTGCGGTTGTGGTTGATAAACCTGTTGGACATGATTGAAGTTAAGCGTCTGTGCCTGCTGCTGTTCACCAGGGCTCTGCTGGTCCGGCAAACGTAAAGCTTCTCCTGATATTTGCCCAATTAAGATGGTTGCACAGAGGACGGTTGTTATTAATAATGAAAATCCAATTGGTTTCATATCCATCTCTGGAAAAATATGAAGGGAAATAATTGAAATTAATAAAAATTCTAATTTAATTTAATAATATATTTATAATACAGGAAAATAATAATGAAAATATAATTAATAAGATCGGAAGGAATAATAAGTTTAAACAACTATAAACTTAGTATATTTTTGGGAATATTCCAATGCAATAAGGTATATACAGGGTGAGATAAAAAAACTGCAACCAATTTCAGACAGTTGTCATTTCTATGCCACTCGTCCGACAGCTGTTAAAATTATGCCAGTGACAGCTCATTATATTGGTTACAAGCGTCCAATGTATTATAGTGAGATTTTTCCACAAAAAATGTTATTCGTGATGGAATTCAAGCGTGATAGTGTGATTTCTTTATATCTGGCGGCAAAACCACAAGTGGCAATCGTTAGTGCACTCCAGCATTTAATTGTGAATATATCTATTGTGTCTTGTACCATCGCTCCTTACCGCTCGACGTCAAGGAAGTGGACGGAAAAACACAGCTACATCAGCAGGAATGGTTGGAAAAGTACAGAAACAACTTGATCGAAACCCGCATCGCAGTGTCCGAAAAATAGATGGTGAGCGGAACATATCGAAATATACCATTCGGAAAATATTGAAAACTGAGCTCGGGGTAAAGTCATTGAAATTGCAAAAAGTGCAAGAACTTACACCGTAACAGAAAGAAAATAGACTCAAAAGAGCTAAAGAGTTGCTTCGCTTGGCCAAAAATGGTGAACTGCCGAATTTGGTTTTCTCCGATGAGAAAACATTCGTTTCCAAAGAGGTCAGCTGAAAATGTGCACCTTCGGTTGGCCACCAGAACTCAAGCGCCGGCCATGGTGATAGTGTTGGCCGCCATAACAACCGATGGTCGCTCTCCGCTCGTATTAATCGACCGTGGCGTCAGAATAAATGTTGAAAATTATCGCTAAAATGTTCTGGACGGTGTATTAAAGCCTTGGGCAAACATTTTGGCCGAAGTCCTTGGACATTCCAAGAGGACTCAGCACCATCGCACTCAGCACGCGCCACCCAAGAATGGTTACAAAACGATGTTCCTCGCTTCATTTCCACCGCACAATGGCCAGCAAAATCTCCGGATACCAATCTGTTGGACTATCGTATCTGAAGTATTTTGGAAAGCAAGGGTGGCACTAAGAAATACCAAAGTGTCGATCACCTCAAGCAAGCGCTTCGCCGGGAATGGACCAAAATACCGCAAAGCAACATTCGGGCAGCGTGTAACGGTTTCATTGGCCGTTTGAAAGCCATAATTCGTGTCAAAGGTGGCCAATTCGTACAAATCTAAACTTACTCTAAAATTTGATGCTACTTCGACATTTGGCCATAATAGCATTACAGATATATGCATTGAATCATAGTTTTAGGAACTACAAACATATCAAAAATATTTGAACCTTTTTTGACTTTGCCTTACCATTGCTTGGTAAAATTTTTCAATAATATTTCAATTTAAGGTTTATGGCAAAAGACACATTTTCCAAAAAATATTCTGCAATTGTATTAGATTACTTGGTCTCATCTTCATTGGACAGAATACAAAAATATATTGTTTGGAGAAATTTCTCTTCTATTTAACTAAAATTTATTTTCGGTTTCAATTACCAATTGTTTTGAACATAAATCATTTCTATTTTTTAATACCAGAGATAAAGTATGCATTTCATTTTTGTTATTTTCTCTTGATCACAACACACACGACATCTTCGACTCAGCCAGTCTGCCTGTCTGAATATCTACCCTATTCCCCACCTTCTCCAGTTGTGGCCAGAGAGACAAAAACTTTCCCAGCACAAAATCAACAAAACAAAAAAAAAATAAATAAAAATAACAACAAAACATTTGTCTCGACTTGATTATATGCATAAATTTAATTGATTTCTAATAAAGTTTAATCACATTTTGACTTTGGCCAAAACCGGTGTTTGTTGATGATGCTGGTGAAAAAATAACTTCATGCCATTGTTGTTGTCGTTGGCGTTGAAACTATTTGTAATAGAGTTTAAAATGGTTTGTGTGCCTTTTGGCTTTTGGAAGTGATACGTCTGGTTTTCACTTCGATCACAACAACATAAATTTCAGCGAACATATTTGAATTTTTTTTTCTAGATTTTTTTTTTCATGAAATTAAAATGCGGCGGATATGCGCTGCTGTAAGTTTCCAAGTGGAAGTTGTCAGTCGATTTCTTTCCATGGCATTGTACATTTGGTGCGACTGAAATCGTTGACAAACTTAGACATCGTTATGCCTACGCTTGCGATTGATGTAGCTTGCTGTTGCAGAGCTCATGGGCTGTTGTCAGGAGATGTGTAAGTTTGATTGTGTTCGATGGTGGTGGTGCGGTGCCCCAACACTCATATATACATGGACTCATGCACCACCACCTGACACACTTTCTTCGCCCAGGCATACAAATAAGATCAATGAAAAAACAAAACGATTTACTCACAAAAACGCAGGCAAGCTGCTTAACAACTCGTTTTAAGCCATAACGAATCACCAGCATCATTTTCCAAAAAAAAGAGTGCCTGTTGATCTCTGTTTGTTTTGGCCACGTCAAAGCGTTGTAAATGTGCATATGGTTGGTGTTGTAGATATACATGTATGAAAAAAAAAAAACTATCTGTCAAGCGATTATTCCTAAAGCGTGTATAAGTCTATCTCTAAGCATTACATTTTATTGCACAAGGTCGGCAGGAAATAAGCTTTCATTCAACATAAGAGGGCCCAAAGTGGAAATAAAAACCAAAAGATTTTCATGCAGACAAGAGCGGCAGTTGTAATTGGGTGTGTTTTAATTTAAAAAGGCTCCAAGAGATTTGAAATTGCGGAAAGGATTTTGCAGAAATTTAGGATGAAGGGAATTACCCTCTATGCAAGAATTCATTTACCGTGTAGTTTCGTATAGTTATACCCTACAACACTATGTGTTGGGGGTATTATAAATTTGATTGGGCCAAAAATTATGTAACACCTCGAAATATTGATTTCCCACATAGGAAAGTATATATGAATCTTCCTAGCTCGCCGAGCTGAGTTGATCTAGCTATGTATGTCCGTCGCAATTATGGCCCGATCCTTACGAAATTTTGCACGAAGGTGGGGTTAAGGTCAGAATAGAAGCCTATTTCTTTTGGAGATGATCGCCAAATGTTTACGGGTTGAAATGGATCAAATACTGAAAAAATGTCGGATTTTGTAGTAGCTATACAGGTCGCAATTATAGACCAATCGACGCGGAATTTCGCATGTAGCTAGAGTTAAGGGCGGCCTACCAATTTGGGTGGTCATCGGATAATATTTAGCGGGTAAAATAGACCATATCTTTTGTGTTGAAAAAATTCAAAATTTTTCATTAAACCGCGAATATTTTAAATCCCAGCGAAATCACAAAGCCATGACAAGGTTACTTCTGATCTTTACATTGATGTTAACATCCAAGAAATCAGATATATAGCAAAATATGTGCGATATATATGTCTATCAAAGAAGATATGCTTGAAAGATCTCTTATATGTCGAGAACGGCTGAACTAATTTCGACAGTTCTCATTAATTCAGAATGGCCTCTTGGCAGGAACGAAACAACGTCTAAAAAATCGCATAAAAATATCTCTCTAAAGATGAAAATATTGATTTTGTAAAATTTTCTCATATTTTTTCAATTTTTGTCATATTTTTGGTATATTTTCATTTTGAATTAAACATTTGGTAATATTTCTACAGCTAACAAAACTAAGTAGTTAGGATATCCAAATATCATATACATATCGCATTTATGGCCCGATCCTTACGAAATTTTGCATGGGGATAAAATGAGGCTCAGAATATAAGTCTACTCTTTTTGGAGATGATCGTCATATATTTAGCGGTTGAAATGGACCAACAAAACTGCAAAATTGTCAGCTGGTCGTAATTATCGCCCGATCCTCACGCACATTTGAATGGGTGTTACCGGTCATTGCAAAAGCCAAGCAGTTTTGGATAGCCATCCAAAAATATTCAATGTGTGAAATAGTTTGCCAACTTTTGTAGACAAAATACGAAATGTCAATTCCAGTGACTTTTTGGAGAATTCACAAATACAGGAAAGAGGCAGTTCCGACTATTTCGTTAACGCTGATTTCGTTGAAGAATATAGTCAAATGTCTGAATCTCATATAGATGCGTTTCAGTCAAAAACCAATAATAAATGTTAATCTTTTGCCACTTCTGAGAGATTATAAGTCTTTGGGAAATATTGGTTCCAGATCTAGGAAATGAGCAAATTAGTTTAAGTTGCTATTATTCGAAAATTAGAGAACGGAACCTGATGGTTTTCTTTTATTATTTGTCACAATATCTTGTGGAATTCTTTCGAGTATCTCGCCTATATAAACTGTATCGTTTATTATAGTGTTGTAGGGTATTCAACGGTCGGCCCCGCTCGACTGTAGCCTTTGCTTACTTGTTTTTCTATTCGTTTTATTATATTTTTACAAAAAGTATCTTTAATTATTTAGTGCAATTAATAATAAAAAAATACGCAAGGGTTAATATTCGTAAGTTTTATTTCTGGGGGGTTAATAAAGACAGCCTTCGAAGGATTTGAAATACAGGATATTACTTTGAAAAAATTTCTGATGTCAGAGATAACCTGACCTGATTGGAAAATAACTCCTTGTCCAATTTTTAAAGTATTGAATAGATTGAGGTCTTCTGCAATGAGATGAAAAAACTGCAATCAAATTCAGACTGTTGTCATTTCTAAGCCACTCGTCCGAAAGCCGTTAAAATTATTCAAGTGACAGCTCATGATATTGTTAACAAGCGTACAAAAGCATTTTGGTGAGAATTTTCCAGAAAAAAGTTATTCAGCAGAAATGGTTCGAAAAGTAAAGAAGCTACTTGATCGAAACCTGCGTCGCAAGAGTTGCTTCGCTTGGCCGAAAGTGTTGAACTGCCGAATTTGGTTTTCTCCGATGAGAAAACATTCGTTGTCCAGCAGTTTATAAACAAACAAAATGACCGTGTTTACTTGCCAAAGAGGTCAGCTAAAAATGTAATGGCCATCAAAATCTCCGGATACCAATCTCTTGGACTATTTTGTCTGGAGCATTTTGGAATGTCAGGTTGGTTCTAAAAAATACCAACACCTCAAGCAAGCGCTGGAATGGGACAAAATACCGCAGAACAACATTCGGGCAGCGTGTAACGTACCAAAGGTGACCAATTCGAACAAATCTAAACTTTTTCTAAAATTTGATGCTATTTCCGACATATTTTGCTTTTATTCAAAAAAAATAAAAAAAAAAATGTAAAAATTATGGCGTTTGACTTTGTTGCAGTTTTTCATTTCACCTTGTATATAGGTACCATATAGATAGCGAACTTTCTCTCTTTCGTAAACAGGAAGGGAATTAGCAATAGTAAACTTGGACAATCCAAAGCCTTTAAATGCGCCACGTCTATAGTTAAAGACATGGGCAAAAAACGTCCCATATCCCTATGGAACAATGAAGACAAAGACCACAAAAATCTAATGGGGAATCCCAATGAGGGAAAACGAAGATCCTCTTGATACTAGGTAAGAAATAGATTAGTGGGGTAAAAGGCATCCTTACGGGTCACCTGGGCCTATAGACTCATTCATAAAAGATAGGATGTGCAGAAAACAGCCTATGCAGGGCATGCGGGGAATAATGAAACGTTGCAGAATTTTCTATGTTAATCCCCATCGTTTGCAAATACTTAAACTTTAGTCTTGAGCGCACACCAGGATTGGCGATTTTCGCCCCTCTTTTCAACCTAAACTAACCTAAGCCATTCCAAATTATAAAACTGTATATAATATTTTGGGGATAACGTTTTTTTAAAGACCGATTAAAGTCCGGCATAAAAAATAAATTAATTCATGTACATCACGGAGAGGTCGAAGAAAATTGCAAAAAAGTTGTAAATATTTAGGTTTATTCAAATTAACACTTTATTTCCACTAATATTGGCGCGCTTCTGTCTCTTTTTTGGTTTTCCAAATTCCAGATCATTAAGCTCTCCACCAAGATGACATGTAATGTAAACCTATATTTTGGAACTGAGCCCCATAAATAAGAAATACAAAAACTGATCTTGAAAACCTGTAAATATTGATTCCATTTTTTTTTTTCATTTTTTTTGTAATATGACAACTAAACGTTGTGTTTAAACAAAGGCTCTTGCACCCGTTGCTTCAGCAATGGCAATCAAATTTTAGTAACTCGTTTTTTTTTTGCGCTTCGCTTTTTAAATGTGCATAAATATACTATCACCACAAAATAACACTTGCACTTACATACACACATACACTATGAAAATCTTTATTGTGTGGGCTTTTCAAGTTTAATCTCTATCCGTTTTAATAGTTTTTGTTTTTGTCCGTTTTTACTAACTTTACTTTGCTTAAAGACGCCGATCAAAAGCAACGAAATATTTTACGAATATACGAACAGAAAATAATCAATCAATAACGGTTATCGATCGATATAAAGCGGTATGCCCGCCGCTGAATCAATTGGTTACTGACGATGATGATGGGGTAGTTGGTGAGAGAATTTCACTTTGGCAATGTTGGAGTCGAACTGAAACGAAATGCAATGAATTTGGCCAACATCACTGTGTTGGTTGTTGGTCTTTGCACTCACTCACCGCGGAGAGTAGGTATTTAATTTGTTTTTTTTTTTTCTGTTTTGGCCTGACTGCCTGCGTGCCTGTTGTTTGATATTTTTTATATGTTTTTTTTTTTTTTTTTTTTGGTTGGTCTGCAAAAATTGTAATGCTCATTTTGTTGTTCAGTATTTGTGTTGAAGGGAAACAATCAGCAGCAGAGGCAGCAGAGATTACCGCTGATGTATTACTACTTTAGGCGCATTTATTGTAGTAACATTTTGTAATTTGGTACTTAAAGGCATGAGGTAAATAAAGGCTATAATAAATCCCTTCGAGGTGTTTGTTTCTTGTTGATGTTTATAATCTTTTTTTAATAATGCCATTGAAACATGTGGACTGTTATTTCATTGTTAATATACCATGTGAGGTATTTCTTTCTTTTTTTCGTGTCTTCATTAATTTCTCTAATTCTCTGCATGACCGATTTTGTATGGCATGGTGGTCAGCGAGTGTTTGCATTTGGTTTATTGGACTTATGTTCACATAACCATAACTTATAAAACTCGTACAGTTAGAGTAACATTTAATATGGTTATGAAATTTCTTAATTGTCTGCTATTAAAGACTGCAAGGTAAGTGCATTAAAAATATAGTGCATTTAAGTGTTAACATATCAGACACAGTGGAACATTATATTAGTTTTCGGTGGGAACTTAAGAGTCATATCTAAGCTTCTTTGCTTGGGATTCCCAAAAAAAAAGAGAAATCCCAAAAAGCTTAATGAGAAAACATCTTTGTATTTAAAATCTTACAACTATGGGTGTTATAAGATATGCTCATCAATGAAATTTTACACAAGTCTATGTATAAAGAGACAGTGGCAGTATGACTCCTACTCCCACCAAAAAATCTAATTCAGATAACGGTGTTCGTTCTCCCGTCTTAAGAAATCAAAATATCTTGTCAAGATATTTAAGATACTCGAATGAAATTTGACATAGAAATTTATTGTTCTCCAAAGAGGTTTGGTATTGAATATATCCGTCCATGCTTAGGTAAAGTGCGCATATAACGGCGTACCTTAATGTTTGAAAATTTGAATGTTTAAACACCATTTCCAACCGGCATTTCCCAATTCATAAAATAACTTTTTTCTCAAAATTTATTTTAAATTGGTTCTAAATTTGAAATATCTTCCACCCAGCTGTCCATTTGTATTTTCCAGATTTTAAAGCATTTTTGGCAATTGAAACTAGGCCTACCAATATTTTCCAATATCGGTACAAATTCTTTCATAAGACCATTATATAGGCCTTATGACTTATTTTAAGGGTTTTGACACATTGAAATCGAAATTGAACGGTATCGCCCAATCATTGGCATTTTTAAAGTTCTAGTCCTATTTTTTTTTTTTTTTTGTTGTTGCAAAATGGTCAGGCTTATCCCTTTTATTGTTGTTTTTATAAAAACAACGTTTGTTTATTAGTGGAGAACGATGGTAATGTTTACCAGGGGGTAAGGCAGGGAATACCTAGGTTTCGGAAAGAGCCACCAATCCTCATCAGTTCCCTTGTTTTTTGTCTGGGATATTCTCCCCAGAAGTTATTTTAAAAATAACTTCTATGACAAAAAACATTTTTACCCAAGTGACGAGATCGTAAGCTCAATAGAAGAGGAACCAAAGAATTAAATAAAACTAAAATTCTTTTGGAAAGTCTTCTAAATCTTACAACCGCACTTATAAACATTCACATCTTTCTCCACTTGTTATGCTTTTTTTTATCAAAATGAATAAATATTTGGAATTTGGGTCCGTAATTGGTGGTAATGGCTCATCGACACTAACATTTTCGCCACAATCGGATCAGGGTAAAATTCTGACCGTCTGCTGAAATCACGATGGATCTCGTATTAGTTAAGTTGGGGCTTTGAAACTTTATCCAAATATTGATATTTTGCAATATTTGGTATTGGCAACGTTATGTGTATATCAGGCCACATTTTGGTACAACTCTGTGTAACGATAACTCATGAGTTTTTTTGGGATTTTTTAAATGTAGAATATAATAGGATTAGGCCATCTATTCTATTGTCCTGAATTGATTTCAAACATTATGTTCAACGAAATTTCAGACATTGGTCATTCTTGATTCTGCTTGGCTCAAAATTCACCTTTTGTAAATCGGTAGACATAAGACTAAGATAAGCCATAAGTCCTACCAACACTTTGCAAACATTTCGCATTCAAACTAGATATTTAGAAACCGTAATCTTTCGAACATCTCTCGGCACAATGTTTTAAAATATATTCAGATTTTAGAATATTTTTAATAAACTATCGACGCACAATTATTAACTTTTTAAACGTTCTAGCCATATTCTGGAATCTTAATGTTTAGAGCCTTTTCTCTAAAAAAATGTTTTATACATGTCCAAATTTTAGAACAGCTTTCATAAAATGACAACTTTCAATTATCGTCATTTTTGCGTCTTAGGCAAACACTAGTGAGGACTTTGTCAAGCGGCTCATGAAGGGCAGCCTAAAATTTAAAGTGTATTTGACCACATAAAATGGTAAAAATATAGGAATTATGGGGCACGGTCCCAGGCTATTAAAGTATTTAATACCGAAATCTCTTAATATTTTTAAGTTTGGAACACAGAAATTTAATTTTTGAATAATTTTGGAGACCCTAGCAACAAACAATTAACTTCTTCACATAAAATATTCAGGGATGTCAAAAAATTACCATTTTAGGTGGTAGGCAGGAAACTTGCTATATTATTGTCGCATATTTTACGCTGCCTAATACGAGGACGAATGACTCCAAATGTTTGACTTATTTAATTTGATTAATTCCATACATCACACGCTATTATAACCCATATGCACGTAGTGATTTCGAGTCATGTGACGCACAATCCCTACTTGATTCCCCTTTTAATTACATCTGATTATCCTAAAAACTAGAAAAGTTAGTTTGTATTGAACCTTTTTTTAAGCATAGATGATATAATTTATTAAACGTCAACTCTTACAAAATGTCTTGTTTCTTAAATTTTCCCAGAGGTTGGCTTATTTAATTAACCTTTTGAAAACTACTTGGAAAAATTCCACTGAAACCAAATCCTTGAAACATGGTTTTTCCTCAACATGTATTGTGGTGTCTGTTTTTTGTTAGACAAAAGTTGGTCTGCCATGCTCGGTTGGCGTATCACACCAAAACTTTGGTAAACGGAGGCAAAGCACGAGAAGTAAAAGAAAAAGCAGAAAAAAAATTTTGGGCATCACTTTAAAACTATTATTAAAAGACAAGGCCAAGACTTAAGTGAAACAAAAAGCAAAACAACCAACAAAAACACGTAACCAAAAGCAAGACATACGTTCGTCTATCTGTTCAAAGCAGAGAAGTGAGAAAATACCAGATAAAAATGAAAGTAAAAGTTTCTTATAAAAGCATGTGATAGCTCTTTCATTGTCCAATAGACAAATAGACAGATAGACCGACAGACGCTTTAAGATTACTTCAATGGTTTTTGCTCTGCCAACAGTCGGCCGGTCTATCTATCGTTCGCCAGCACCCAAACAGCCAACTCATGCGCTGTTGGCTTTTGTCTGAATAATGTTGCCATTAGAGATTCATAGGATTGAGATACGCATTTGGTCACCGCTCAAAAGCATGTGTTGTAAGGGTCATGATCTGTCGTTGGTGTAGGTTTTTGGTTGTCTTGTTGTTCGTGGGATGGTATTTGATAATGAAAAACAAGAAGCTTGCATCATGGCTTTTGATTTGAGGAGTGAGTGACAAAACGGCAAACTTAAAAAGAAATCTAAAAAATTCAAATTGAAAGTAAGCTGAGATGTCACAGCACGGCTAACACTTCAAAATTGTGCATATGCATGAATGAATATTTTCCATAAATTGGGCGATGTTGTTGAGATTAAGATTGTATACACGTGTGTCTAATACAATTTCAATTGACATATATAAAATAGAAAAAAAATATTTCTTCCCCCTAGACTAAAAATCCGCTGAATGGATTTTTGTGGATACTTTGTACCGTAGGAACGATGCTAGACACCGTCTATAAAATTTGTCTAAATTAATTTGATGTCATTATGTGTTATGCCAACAGGGGTAACACTCGCTATCGTTAATATAATTCTTATTCGCGTAAGAGTCTTTACACTTTGTAAAAGCCATCACAAGAGTCAAAAAATATGGAGTAAAATACTCAATTCGGTATCTCTTGAGCCTTTAAAATTGGTATATTTCCTCCTTCTAGGAAAAGGATTAGCAACTATGGGGTCGGATCTTAGTTTTAGTTTCGAAGGTCATGAGTTCACCTACCATATATCCAAGAACTGCGAATATAGCAAATGAAAATGTTGTGATATTTGGTCAAACAAATATTTTATCAGTAGAGGAATTTGAATCTTCAGACAACATAATTTCGAGAAGTACTGTAACATTAGTGGCAATGACAACATTTGAATCTGATCCATTTTTAATAAGAGTTAAATAAGATTCGATATGCTGCCTGAACCAACCCCTTTAGGCCTTTTTTACCGTCTCTAAATATCCACAGAGCCTACATAAATTATGAACTTACATTTACAATTTGAACCACAATTTATTTAAGAAAACTAATAAATCGGAATTTTTATTATTATTATTTTTTTTTTTTTTTCAATTCAAGATATATACTCTCCCAACAATAATCTGTAGCTATTTTAAAATTTAGATATAAAATCATAATCTAGTCTTTGGCATGTTTATTATAGCAAGCCAAATAAGCATATTTCAGTTATGCCTAAAAATATGCTTTGATTTTGTGCAACGTTCATAGATATCTTTATAATTAAGAAAATAATTGTAATTAAACCTCTGCGCATGCGCACAAGCTTTATTTCATATAAGATTAAAAAAAAGATGTCGTGCGCTACGAAAAACAGAAAAGCTTTCATTTTTGGTACGCTAATGATAGTAAGATGTCGCTTTGTGCTAGATTCAAGGAAAAAAAGGTATTCATATTTTTTATACCACCACAGTATGGGTTTTATATTAAATGTATCATTCC